AGAGGGATGGAAGGGGAGCTCAGACCCTTGGTCTTGTCAGCACGATGACAAATTACATGTTCAGTCTTTTCCAAACTTTGCAGGTTCGTTGTACGGGCAAATTTCACCAGAAAGAAACAATGACACTTAGTGAAAGCAAAGAGAAGGATGAGATGCTGATCACCAAGGATTATCCTAATGAGCAGCATAACTTTTTATTACTTTATTCACTCTATTTGATCTTTGGCATATCTTGTTACAACTTCACAGTGACATTATATGGGTGAAAATCTACACCTGAAAAACTTCCCCATGATAGACCCCGACTCAAGCTGAAATTGGAACTGCACAACAGAGAGCAGCCGAGGGCACAGACAGAGGCTACCGCCGCCATCTTGTGAACACAGCCATCTGTCACCTAAACATATTCTGTGGATCTTTCTGCAAACCTCCCAGGAAAATTGTACAGATCAGTGATTCTAAAACTGTGGGATGCGAAATGATTTTCTGAATATTCTACAATAAAGTTAAAATTATCGGGCTTGCCCACTTTAGGGAGCTGTCTGAAGTCAGATTTTCAATATTAGACAAGTCTGCATGCACATAACAATTTTATTACCTTGTAAACAGTCTTTTGGGTTTGCAGACTACTCTAATGCTTTTGATGTAGCTCATTTTAGCTTTCCATCCATTTTCTGAAACCACTTGTCCTCTTCAGGGTGGTGGGGGGTCCAGAGCCTTTGGGAACAAGGTGGGGAACAACCCAAGATGGGGCACTAACCCATCACAGGGCAAAAGGCAGGGAACAACCCAGGATGGGGCGCCAACCCATCACAGGGCACAAGGCAGGGAACAACCCAGGATGGGGCGCCAACCCATCACAGGGCACAATGCAGGGAACAACCCAGGATGGGGCGCCAACCCATCACAGGGCACACTCAAACACCTATGGGCAATTTGCCAACTGCAGTTGGCTTCAGCATGTTTTGGGACGGTGGGGGACAAACCAGAGTACCCAGAAAAAACCCCACACACAGAACCTCAGCGGAGACTCGAACCCGGGTCCCAAAGGTGTGAGGCCGCAGTACTAACCGCCGCACCACCATGCCACTCGTCATTTTAGGTGTATAATGGACTAATATAGATTTGGCGTAAGATTTCTTGCGCGATCGTCTGTGTCCGAAGGCCTGAGTGGCGCCTGGCAGATGCTTGACAGTTTGCATCCCTGATATTATTTCGTTGCTAGATTCCCCAGTTTTTATTGTTTTGCGAATTTAATTGTCAGGTTTTTTTGGAAATGTGGGGAGAGTGGGTAAGGTGGGTTTTAATATTTTCATTATACAGTGGACATTTTTTATTCAGTTCATTTTTGTTCAGTTGTGCGCTTGAGTTTAGTATTTTGTGGACACGTTAAGCTAAAACACAGTGTTATGTTTCCTGTAGCTTAACAGCCACAGCATTGCTCTAACAATACAGAGCTCCTGTGTTCAAACCATAGAAAGTACACACAATAAATGTGTCTGATACATGTGCGTGGGGGGGAGGGACTATCTATGGCTCCTCCTGGGCCCTGTCTATACCTTTAGTGCATGTTAAAGTTACTACTGGTATTTCCTGAAAAATGTGGGACATAGTGGAAAAATTAAACAGAATATAAATACTTAGGTATTAAAAAATATGAATAATATAAATTATATATTAAGACATTGACCTAAGTTGTATAGTTTGGTGAGTGTGGGATGAGTATGGATTGTGGCGGAGGGGGCCGTCTTGGGAATACAATGCTGTATTGTAGGGGTGTTTGTTTCAACATGCTCACAGGTACAGCGGGTACAAGTTCAGGCAAAAAGTACCGATGTAAAACATGCTTTTACCACTTAGAGAAAGCAAGATACTCTTTGGTTTAAATTACACACCAGCCACTTCACCTCTCTGTTGGACCAAAGGAAGGAATCTTTGCAGAATGTTATGATCAAGACAAAGTTTTCTCAAAGGCTGTATTGTTCATACTGGTCCTTGATTTCCCCATTTCCTTTTTTGTTTAGTCATTTTTTTTGGGGTATTTATGTATATTCTGTATATAACTGCCAATATACCTTTATCTGCTCTCTTAGGTGTTTTTATCATCTCATCAGATTGTTACGTGTCATTTATTTATGTGTGAATGTGTGGTTTGGTCATGGTGACAGTGAACAGGTGACTGAAATATTGAAATAAAGTAAATCATATCTGGGGAAGAGGAACAAGGTTGTATTGGGGGGGGCTGTTGGCATTTGGGGTGGCAGTGGGGGGTAGAGTGAGATAAGCGAATGCCAGTGCCGTGTACGTCATCGTTTCTACAACTTGCCAGTTTGCTTTTGGCCATATTGAGGGTTAGTCGGATGTGAAACCCAAGCAGCTGTCACTCCAGACACAGTGAGATGGTGACGCCCCCCCCCCAAGGTGGGCCTTACAAGAGCAGATGAAGCCCTCGCCTTCACCTGGGCCGTCCTGGTTGAGCCATCTGCCGGCGGGCAGCCCTGCGAGAGGGCAGGGAATGCGCAGGTAATGAGGAGTGTGGCGAGGACAAGATCTTTAATTAACCTGAGCGCAGGTATGAGGTCACCCAGCTGCAGTGATGTCACACTCGCTGTGCTCCGTCGCCTCATGCAAACACACCGGGGCTGACTTGCCAAACAAAAGCAAACGGACATTATGAAAAAGGCAGCAAATGAATTTCTCAGAGGGCGAAGCTGGTAGCTCGTCCTGTTCTTAATGTCTCCCCCCCCCCTTTTATCTGCCTTATTGGTTTGCTGCTTCCAGTTTACGAATCCTTTATTAAGACCTCCGACAGCCAATTAATCAAAATGTGGCAGAGGGATGAAGCAAGTTGTTTCCTAAAGAGCTAGCCTCCTTGCTTGTCCTCTGGACACCCATGAGTCTTGACAATGTGCTCGCTGTTGGTAGATAACGTGTTTGTAAGCGATCGAAGGACGAGAAGAGAACACTCTCTCTCCTCCACCTCTGTACTGGGCCGCACATGATGTGCATGACTTAATTCAGGGCTTGTTCTGATATTGCAGAGCACAGGAAAACAATACCACATCTCAATCATTACTGCTGGATGTCAGATCGCTTCCATTTCTGCAATTTCATCTGTGCTTTTTACTGGAAGTGCGTTTCTTGTGCACGTGTAATGGATGCACCAGTACAACTCAGCAAATGTTCACACACACACAACTTGCACGTTGGATGGTGTAGCGCCTGGAAGAGGAAAACAATTTGTCAGCATGTGACGGGGATCTGACCTGACAGTTGGGTTCTGACTATGCTGTCACGGAGCACATGGCCTTACTTGAGTCCTGTCTAAGACTGGCAGACGTGACAAGCTTATATAGGCTGGTAATCAGATGTTTTTCTGATACAGGCATGGCTAACACAGCTAGCAGAGGATGTGTTTCTGAGACCACCAAAATCCATTCTTTCACTTCACAAATTTGTAATATTTCCAGAAGAATTTTGGGGAGGAGAAGACTATTGGAGATGATGTTTGGTTGTCTGTTTTGTACGTATGCTGCTATGCGTTAGGAGACTGATATTTAGCAACTGTTTCTAAAATGGGTCACTTACTGATGCTTGTGACTTTTACATCATATGTACAGTTGTGGCCAAAAGTTTTGAGAATAACACAAATATTGGTTTTCACAAAGCTTGCTGCTTCAGTGTTTGTAGATCTTTTAGTCAGATGTTTCTATGTTATACTGAAGTGTAATTACAAGTATTTCATAAGTGTCAAAGGCTTTTATTGACAGTTACGTTTATGCAAAGAATCAATATTTGTAGTTTTGGCCCTTTTTCAAGACCTCTGCAATTTGCCTTGACATAATGTCAATCAACTTCCGGGCCAAATCCTGACTGATGGGGATTTTCCAGGTCATGGACCCAAAATGTTGCTGTTTTGTTCCCTGAGCCATTTACTTATCACTTTTGCCTTATGGCACGCTGCTCCATCGAGCTAGAAATGCATTGTTCACCACCAAACTGTTCTTGGATGGTTAGAAGAAGTTGCTGTTTTTCTTGAAGAGAAGTGGCTCTGATGCGCTTCTTGACTCACTGTGCATGCAGATGCACTCCCACCTGCCTGCTGCCAGTCCTGAGTGAGCTGTGCACTGGCAGTGCCCCGATTCTGCAGCTGAATCAACTCCCTGGCACTTGTAACGGTCCTGGTGCTTGCTAGACTTCCCTGGGCGCCCTGAAACTGCCTTCACAACAATTGAACCTCTCTCCTTGAAGTTCTTGATGATCCGATAAATGGTTGATTTAGGTGCAGTCTTACTAGCAGCAATATCCTTGCCTGTGAAGCCCCTTTTTGTGCAAAGCAGTGATGACTGCATGTGTTTCCTTGCGGGTAACCGTGGTTAACAGAGGAAGAACAATGATTTCAAGCACCACCCTCCTATTAAAGCATCCAGTCTGTTATTCTAACTCAATCAGCATGACAGAGTGACCTCCAGCCTTGTCCTCATCAACACTCTCACCTGTGTCAAGGAGAGAATCCCTGAAATGATGTCAGCAGGTCCTTTTGTGGCAGGGCTGAAATGCAGTGGAAATGGGTTTTTGGGATTAAGTTCATTTCATGGCAAAGAGGGACTTTTGCAATTAATTGCAATTCACCTGATCACTCTTCATAACAAAACAGAGGCAGCAGACTTTGTCATTCTCAAAACTTTTGGCCACGACTGTAGGATATGGGGCTTATAGGAACATGGAGATAAATATCTCTAGTATACAGACATTTCATTTGAATTATTTTAAACAGAACAACTCCAAAATGTTTGCTTCTTATTTTCATATTTTAAGGGCTTAAAGCTATCTTTAGTTGTAGATAAATATGCACAACTACAATCCTCTATTCTACATCATTGTCTCATTGAGCAATGTCCGACTACTTCCGGAGTGCGGAAAAATGTCCACCCCAATGGTCAGCGGGCGTTAAGGTAAGAATGAGTGAGCACTAATGATTGCCTCCCCCTCTATGACAGGACGGGGGCCCCGATGATGCAGAAGGGACACCAGCGCCCCCCAGTGCGGCAGCCGTGATTCGCTATGAGTACCATGTGCTGTATTCCAGAAGCTTCCAGACCCCGACGTTGTACTTCAGAGCCTCGACGTTAGGTAGATGGGCAGCGGCAGGCCGTCTTTCAGTGGGACCCCTTTCATTAACCCCTTCCCTCCCGCCTTAACTGGAGATGGGTATTCTGTAATCCTGTAGCAGGTGGTACTGTTGCTTTAACGCTGTATATGTGTCAAGTTTTCTGTGTTCGTCTTGGTCTCCTCTCGATTTTAAGTGATCTCCATTGCTAGTGAATGGAAAAAATAATAACCCCAGCTTCATTCTCAATTGTAGATGGCCGGTCGCTGTCCCTAGAAGAGATTTGGGATGGCGTTCACTCAAACTACAGACAGCGGCTGCTACACGCACCCTGGGACTCCATCACTCAGCAGGTATGTCCTGCACTCCTTCTCCAGCTTCCCTCTGTTTCTCCATTTTATTTTCTTTCCCTCTGTCTTCCATTATTTTCCCACCCGGTGACAATATTTAGTTACCTATAATACTAGCATTGACTTTCACTGGATGCTCTGTGGTGCCTCATTATGACATCTGCTTAGAGCACCTGACGGGGGGGGGACTGGGGATGTGGAGGGTTATTCAGCTGGTTAGGGATTTAGAATGTGCTAATAAACCTGAGTGGCAATTAAAAGGGCAGCGAATCCCAGCACGGGGCTTCTCCAGCGTCAGCAGAGTTTAGCTACTTGTTTTTTTTGTTTTTTTTTTTTTGCGTAACATTACTTGAGATGAACAAGAGAAGAAACAAAAACAGCATCAAGGAAATCAAGGTGGAATTTTTGGTAAAATGGAGGATGTGGCGCTTGATTAAGTAACAGTAGCATGATATCTGGAAATATCCATAATGGAAAAAAAAACACACTGGTTTAATTAAAGCCAAATCATTAAGAAAGAGAGCAGGAACGGCTTTCTTAAGTCCTACTTTGGTTTTTCTTGACTGGAAAGCATCTTTATCTTGTACTAATTTGCTGCACTTTTTATAGGGTTTTTGCGTGAGCTCGGCACGCGCACATCATTTTTGTCCTCGCTTGTTTTTGTGTGTGTGAGAAATTTAGCAAAATTGAGTGAAGAGGAGAAAAGCAAACTGGACATTGCCTTTGGAGTCGATAGAGATGATAATGAGCAAAAGTGATTGACAATACTTTTGTGGCAAAGTCACCAACTTATTTTACAGATGTTATATTTGGCTATAGTTTGTTTTGGTAAGTTATCAATTCCTTTTTCAATTTATAAATATCTCAGTATTTATTAGAAAAAATAACACTGTTTTTTGCAAAAATAACAAGGAAGCAGAAGCCTCATCCAGAAGAGAGACACCAGAGCCCTGCCCTGGAGCCAGGCCTGGCGGGGAACTCGATGGCAAGCGGTGCTTGGGCCTCTACCCACAAACCAAAAGTACTCGTGGTTTCATTCTCCTTTGGGCCCACGACATGCAGGAGGACTCATGAAGGTCCAGTGCATTTGGATCTGCTGGCACTCTTAGGCGGTGGTCTTGGAGGACTGATACCCAGCTACCAAAATTGGCTTTAGGAACATGGAATTTTTCCCAGGTGGGAAAGGAGCCTGAGCTGGAGCGGGAGGTAGAGAGATGCCGTCTAGATATAGTTGGACTTGCCTCAACACATGGCTTGGGGTCTGAAACGAAAACTCCTGGAAAGGAGCTGGACTGCATTCCACTCTGGAGATGTTGTGAAAGTGTGGATTTGGTACTTGTATGTTGGCGCTCACCCTGGAGAACGAGAGGGTTGCAGTCACTTTGACTTTGAGTCAGGGGACAGGCTCTGACTGTTGTCTGTGCTAATGCACTGAACATCAGTTGAGATTATCCAGCCTTCTTGGAGACTTCGGATGGGCTGCTGGAAGGTGTTCCACTGGGGAATTTTATCACTCATATGGGTAATGACAGTGAGGCCTGGAAGGGTGTGATTGAGAAGAATGGCCTGCACAGTCTGGACCCCGAGTGGTGCTATGTTACTGGACTTCTGTGTTAGACGCGATTTGAATGTTTTGAAGAGGAGAGCTGAGCTGTTGACTGATCACCACCTGGTGGTGAGTTGGATCATATAATGAGGGAAGATGCCAGGCGGACCTGGTAGACCCAAACATGTAGTATGGGTGTTCTGGGAGTGTTTGGCAGATGCCCCTGTCCAGCAGAACTTCTGTATTCTGAGGTAGGCTAGAGACATTGAGCTCAAGTGGCCCATGTTCCATGCTTCCATTTCTGTATGATCTATTTCTAATGTTCTATTTCTATAGCTGTAGGGATATTGGTAGCTATCATGGCAGCAACCCTCAAACCTGGTGGTGAACATCAATGGTAAGGAGAGTCATCAGGCTGAAGAAGGCCTTCCAAGCTTGCTTAGCTTGTCGGTCTCCAGAGGCAGCTGCTGGGTGCTTGCAGGCCAAACAGAGTGCAGCTTTAGCAGTAATGGACGCAAAATACTCAGTGTATGAGCAGTTTAGTGAGGCCATAGAAATTGAAGAGGTTCCAGCAAACCACCAGGAGACTCATGAGGAGGAAGCAGAGGATGTTCTTATGTTCTTATTGCTGTTGCCATGCTGTTTATAGTAGTGATTGAGTACTGTTGACCTCAACTGGGATTGGCTGGTGGAACAAGCACTTTGAGGGCCTCCTTAATCACGCTGATGCGCCTTTTTTGGAGGAACTAGAGTCAGAAGACTCTTACCCATCACTAGGACTGAGGTCACTGAGGTAGTCAAACTCTTCAGGGGTTAGGCTCCAGGGGAAGATGATATTTGAAGGCTCTTGATGTTGTTGGGCTGTCTTGTTTGACACACCTCTTAAACATTACGTGGTGGTTGGGAACAGTGCTTTTGGATTGGCAGACTGGGGTGGTGGTCTCAGTCTTTAAGAAAGGGGTCTGAAGGATGTGTTCCTCCCGGGGAAGGCCTACATTAGAGAGGAGGATTCATCCAAACCCTGGATTCAGGAGGAGCAATATCTGGTCGTGGAACACTGAACCATCTCTTCACCCTCAGAAGGATACTGGAGGGTTCGTGGAAGTTTGCCCATTCAATCTATATGTGTTTTATGGACTTGGAAAGCATACAATTGTGTCTCTCAGGGGGTGCTGTGGGGGGGTGCTTTGGAATTTTAGGGTGCAGGGTCTGCTACTATGGGTCGCTGTATAAGTTGAGCAAAAGCTTGGTTTTCCTTGTTGGCAGTAAGACTGCTGCCCCCATGTCTGTCCTGGTGGGGAATATATGTCTGCAATAATACAAGCATTTCATATCGCAAATTGAATTTTTTCCAGTATTGTTCAGCCCCCCACCCCAGCCTCATGCGCAGGGATTGGGTCAATGCCCCCCTGCAACCCAGAACAGGATAATTGATTATATGATGGAGTTTTTTAGATCACATTACACATACTCAGGTTGTTCATACGTTTAGCATTTTGTTTCTGTGCGCAAGGTATCTGACTTGGGTGGAATCAGTTGTAATATGTATTTGGGGGGTTTCATATTGCTGTGTTCCTGAATTATAACAGCAGCAATACAGGCAGTCTGAACTATAGTTCTTCTTCTAATGACCTTTAAATCTTAAATGCTAAACGTTTTAAATTTAAATTATATCAATTTCTGGAAAAAAACCAAAAAAAAACATTCAAAATCCAATTTGTGTTTATTCTGAAATAAGAATAAAATGACTTTACTGAATAGAGCAAAGCAAGCTGTGTAGGTATTCAGGAAACGGGCTCAGCAGAAAATGGCAAGTAAATCGTTTGCTGACCTTGGAAGCGTTTTGTTGCAAGTGCAAAGTATGAGAGCCGCCCGTTCATACCTGCAGCTCCGGTGCCGCTGGGGACAGTGGGCTGGGGGCCGAACGGCCCCCACGTGCGGATTTCTGCGGTGCTGTGGGCGTTTACTGCCAGTACGCCGCTGCCGCATTAGCATTTCAATGGCCGCCCTCATCACGACGGTACATCTACTGTGATTATTAATGGAGAGCCACGGAGGGTGACTCAGAGCGAAAACAGCAATTGCAACACTGCGGAGGAAAATCGAGGCTTTTTAATAGCAGGGTGAAAGCAATTCCAAAGGCTTCCAAAATTTAAGAAGTTAACAAAAGTCATGGCAGATGTATAGGATTATACTTACAGGACTGTAAAACTGTTGAAGAGCCATCACCATTGAATATTTCAAAGGGTTTGAACCATATTGAAATATTTCATTTACTGTGGTCTATTTGCGCATCTCTGTAAGGAAAACACAATTTTTTTTTCCTTTTTAAAGCCATAAAGATTTTGAATAGTTATGATGTAGTGGGGTGACACCATGGCCTGGCGTCCCAGTGCTGGGTGTTTGAATCCCTCCCCCATTCTGGGCAGAAATCAGGTGACTTAACTCGTTTCAGTTCCTGGTAGTGTGTGACTGAGTGAGCCGGTGCTCGTGCCCCGTGTGAGCAACTGGCATCCTTTCCTGGGCCTGCTTATGGGAATCCGCTACCCAATAGCATATTTTTAGGCGAATGAACCCTGCAAAGCTAAACACCCTGGTATCTGTGGCCATGAGCTAATAATGTTGCTTACTGTGACATACAGTGCATTCCAAAATTATTGGCATCCTTGGTAAATAAATGTGAAATGGGCTGTGAAAGAAGTCTTTATTCTCTTGACCTCTCATTCAAAATATATAAACATCCAACTGTTCACAAGTAAAATAAGTGAAAGGAAAAAAATTATCATAAAACAAATATTTTTCTCAAATATGTGTACCACAATTATTGACCATTGATTTAATACTTTGTGCAGCCCCCCCTTTACTGAGAGAACGTTCTGAGTATTCTTGTATCATGCTTAGTATTATGCTTAATGAGCTTGGAGAAGAAATGGCCAGGAATCTGAGGCCATCCTTCCATATAGAATCTCTCCTCTTCCTTCTGATTTTGAGGTCCACGTTTGGGAGGCAACAGGGCTGTCTGAGGAAAAAGTTGCTGTTGCTCCAACATCATCGTTCCCAGTTTTCTTACATCGGATTAAGTGTCTTTTCTTGATATAATAATTGTGTGTTTATCATTACAAAATCACAATGCTACATTTTAGCCAAGACCATTGTGATCTTTATGGTCCACACAATTGACAACCTGCGTTTTTTTTTGTGGGTCTGGATTTTGATGCTCTGGGATCACAATGGATCTCTGCAGTTTTCTAACTGTTCCATTGAAAGTTCTATAATGTAGCTAATCACCAACAGTAATCTGCGATCATTATTATGGCCAAAAATTCTTTTTCACATTTTTCCCTCAATAGCTCAATTTCACAGTTTTGTTAATTAAACACTATATGGATACAAGTATTGGGACATCTGGCCATTACACCTACAAGAACTTTTATGACATTCCATTCTAAATCCATAGGCATAAGTATGGAGTTGGTCCACCATTTGCAACAGCTGCCACTCTTCTGGGGAGGCTGTCCACAAGATTTTGGAGTTTATCTGTGGGAATTTTTGCCCATTCATCCAGAAGAGCATTTGTGAGGTCAGGCACTGATGTTGGATATGAAGGCCTGGCTCACAATCTCCATTCTAGTTCATCCCCAAAGGTGTTTGATGGGTTGAGGTCAAGGCTCTGTGTGGGCCAGTCAAGTTCTTCCACGCCAAACTTACCCCACCATGTCTTTATGGACCTGGTTTGATGCACTAGGGGCACTGCCATGCTGAAATAGAAACGGGCCTTCCATAAACTGTTCCTACAAAGTTGGAAGCATAGAATTGTCCAAAATGTCTTAGTATGCTGAAGCATTTAAAGTTACCTTCACTGGAACTAAGGGGCCCAGCCCAACCCCTGAAAAACAACCCCATACCATTATCCCTCCACCAAACTTTACAGTTGGGACAGCACAGTCAGGCAGGCAGTGTTCAGCTGGCATCTGCCAAACCCAGACTCGTCCATCAGACTGTCAGACAGTGGCAGTGTGCTTTACACCACTCCATCTGATGCTTGGCATTGAGCTTGGTGATGTGAGGCTTGCATGCAGCTGCTTGGCCATGGAAGCCCAATTCATGAAGCTCCCAGCACACAGTTTTTGTGCCGAGGTTAATGCCAGAGGAAGTTTGGGACCCTGCAGTTATTGAGCCAACAGAGCGTTGGCGACTGTTATGCACTATGCACCTCAGGACTCAGTGACCCGCTCTGGTACATTATGTGGTCGTGCAGTTTCAGTTACTCCTAAATGCTTCCACTTTGCAATAATACCACTTACAGTTGACTGTAGAATATCTAGCAGGGAAAAAAAAACATCATGAACTGACTTATTGCAAAGGTGGCATCCTACCACGCTTGAATTAACTGAGCTCTTCAGAATGACACATTTTTTCACAAATGTTTGTGAACTTGACTGCATGGCGAGGTGCATGATTTCATAGACCTATGGCTATGGGTCTGAATGAAACATCTGAATTCAATGATTAAGAGGTGTGTCTCAATACTTTTTGTTCATATTGTGTACATTGTTTTAAGTGATTAGTCTTGTGTCAACATCATAGAAGTATTCCTGGACTTGGTCTGAGTCTGTTTTGACTGTAGCTTATTTAATGTAGCTGAATTAAGATGTTAATTTAAGGGCAGAAACCTTTACTATATGAGGCACTCAGGAGCATGTATGGATATGTGTTGTTCTATCCTGGCGTGATTTCAGCTGAGATGAGCCTGGGTCTTGTTTTTTTTAACTGTGCTGTCAGCTTTACATTGGAGTCTTGCCACATTTTCCAATGAGCATGATCGCGCCAGATATCTTTCCAAGATCATAGCCCCCACAACTCAAGTTATGTTCTCATACACTAGCTGTCAGGATGTTCATCATTGACAGAGATTTTAAACTTCAGACTGTTTAAACTGTCTTAAGCAGTGTGCTGGACGTGACAACCAATTTGCTTAGGCCTTGGTACTCAGTTATACTCAGCTGCAGCTGTGTCAGGAGTTTTTAATATGCTGTAAACTTAATATGGTTTCTATAAAGGTCAAGCTCAAAAACAGCTAACAGTTAGTGTAGAATCTATTTGGAAGTGGGGATACCCTGACATATTATTGATTGCAGTTATGTTTGGCTTTATTGAATCTTTAGTTTCTGTTTATACTGATGATATGAACAAGGATTGTTGAACATTGAACATGAAGAAGTGAGGTGATATTTTGTCTGAGTAGAGACTGATGAAATCACCTGAAGTGTTTAAGCTGCGATCTGAATTGTACCAGAAGCTGGACTCAAATCCAAGAATAGAAAGCTGTGATAAAGCTGTAACGTAATGAGAGATGGGTGCCATATCTGTTAAGGAAGCAGATTTGAAAAAAGGTTTCCGGTTACTTTCTAAATTGCTGGGTATAAGTGTTTCCTAAGTAACCAAGATTCCCGCACATGGGTAGATGACGATGGATAGATCAAAGTGATCCCTGCTTACATCATTTTCCTTTTATTCCTCTATGTAAAGGAACACCCCCTCCTTGGGCAGCCCTTCTTTGTTCTCCACCCCTGCCGAACACAGCAGTTTATGAGCCCCGTGCTTGAAGCCGCTCGCAACCAAAACAGGTTTGTTTCTTGCATGGTCATGCGTGCATCCATCCATCCATCCATCCATCCATAGATCCATGTGTGCATCCATCCATCCATCCATCCATAGATCCATGTGTGCATCCATCCATCCATCCATAGATCCATGCGTGCATCCATCCATCCATCCATCCATCCACAGATCCATGCGTGCATCCATCCATAGATCCATGCGTGCATCCATCCATAGATCCATGCGTGCATTCATGCATCTTTGTGAAGGGTGGCATGGTGGCTCAGTTGCCATATGTTCAGGGTTGGAGGTTCGAGTCCCATCTCCAGTCTGTGTGTAGAGTTTGCACGTTCCCCTTGCTTTACGCAGTTTTCTCCTTGGTTCTCTGGTTTCCTCTTGCAGTCCTTTCAGTTTGGCAAATTTGCATCTTTAAATTGCCCATAGTATAGGCCTGTGAGTGTGTATATGCACGTGCATCTTGTCGGACCGGCATCCTGTCCGGGGTATACCCCAGCCTTGTGCACTGTGCTGCCTCGGATAAGCTCCACGCCCTCTGCAACCCTGTCTTAATTGAAATATTGTGAATCGTCCGTATGATCACTGCATAAGTATTCAAGACTACAAACATAGGCTACGTTCACGCTGCCAGCCACATCGTTCAATTCTGATTTTTTGCTCAGATCGGATTTGTCTATCTTGACGGTTCACATTCATAAGCACAAGTGACCTGCATCTGACTGTAATGTGAACACATCGGTCCTCCGAAACGTCACGCATGCGCACATTGATACGTTTTTACGCGGGTAAA